GCTTGGGAAGGTACCCCTAGAGGTATGGATCAATTGTATGACCCATTAATTAACCTCAGTGAATGAATCGGGGGGTGTCCCTCCTGGCTGAAATGTGGGGAATCATCACTTTTGCATGTTTGCTGTTGGGAAACATTTTACATTTTTGCTTGTTGTGATTTAGTGGGAAATCCCCACTTAACTGCTAAAACTTAAATGTTTGCTCCCCTTCCAACGTCAACCAAGTTTGGAGGGGAACACCCCCATATTAATAAGCAGGGGTTGATGAATATGGGGTGAACATTATGGATAAATTGTTGGGGGTGTAAGCCTTTAAGCCAATGCCGGTAGGCTTTTGCCAAGATCATTCCACTTGCGAGATCGCAAGGATCCCCATATGAGCTCATATGGGTCTATGTTTGTGTTTCTTCTTTTTTTCTGAGGGTACCCCTTTTTGTCGTTTGAATGGACAACAAGAGGAACCCCACCATTTTGCGGGGGTCCCTCCAAAAAGACACACCCATACCTCGCATGATGGCCCTGCGAGCAGATAGAGTAGAATCAAACCGTGTCCGCAAATGCCTTGGCTCTGAAAGGAAGGCGACCCAGCCCCCTGGTACGGCCTTTTTCCCCAAAAAGGCGGTGTTGCAGGTGTGTCGATTCTCGTATGCTGAGAGTCACTTAGATGCAATACTCCTGCACATGCTGACCCGACTCAAAACATCCCCACCCCCGAAACTCTGTTGCCACCGCACAAAAAACGATCCACACACCCCGGGCCCCTATCCCTTCAAGCCTCCCAGTGTCTGCCTTAGGATGCGACACAGGTGTTGGCCTGGAGAACTCCAGGTTGTTTTTTTCCAAAGTTGGAAAGGAGAGGTGTAGCGGTCGCTCGCTGGAGCAACCCAAACAGGAAATCCAAAGGAGGAAAGCGATTCATGCTACATATCCGAAAGGGCCCCTTCCCCATATCCCCATTGGTAGGCAAGGATGTTTGTTGGGGTTTGTCAACTTCATGTTCTTCCAAGTCACCAAAATGAGGTAAATCCGGGGTAAATGTGGGGTAAATCCGCTACTTTGCCTGTTAGCGGCTGAACATTTTGGCCCACTGGCTCGCTCGCTTTTTTGCGCTCAGGACTTGAATGAGCGTGGCGCAGAGGTGATTCAGGATCATTGAAGTTGAAAATACCACAAGTGGCTTCGCATAGTTTGGTTTTCGCAATATTACATGCGGGTTCGCTTGAATCGATATCTTGAAGTACAGGGCGGTCATCAATTATGTGCTCATTCTGAGTACAAGTCCTTGAATGCAGGACACTCCTGCAGCAACCATGCCTATCCTACCAGGATCTTTGACATTGCTGCATAGTATACCTGGTGGTTTGTTTCGGGCATGTGGCAAAGTCAATCTGTAACAGGCGGTGTGAGATTCACACATGTTGCACATAACTTACTTTGCAGGAAACATGGCCACGCATTTGACACAGGGAGGTCATTGAAGGGGAGATGCTAGACACTGCCAATGCAGAGTCCAAGGTTTCACTGCTGGCAAAGCCAACGAATTGATAGATCCTTGTGCAGTGACGGCCGGCCCACAGAAGCTTCTATGTCTTCTTTCAGGTTAGCTTGTTAGGTTTGGTTGAAAGACAGCGAAATATAAACATGTGTTTTTTTTTTCCGGTTTCAGGGTAGCAGCTTTTTAAAACATCTTTGTCTGAGAAACATGTTTTGGGCTTCCCTACTCGAGGACCAACCATTTTGTGACACACTGCTGCTCCTTTGCGCTTTTGTTGGCCATCGCTTACTAGCGCAAGCATGCAGGTCATTTGTAATTCGATTGCAGTTTTAACTCTTTGGCTGCATTCAAAGCCAGACACAGATCGCAGGCAAGATTCCATGTTCCTTTTGCATGCAGCAGGCTCGCCGTGCAAAGCACAAGGCCATTTTGTCCGAGCGCGTCAGGTGTACCCAACACAGTCTTGGAAAAAGGCTGCGGTGCGTGCTTTGAGCATCTTGCGACTCTGGCTGTGATGAAGATTCCTTTTCCATCCGCAGTGCCACGACTCTTGGCAACAAAAGGGGGTGTCTCAAAGTGGTGCAAGAAAGGATTCCCCCAAAGAAAGACAACCCCAAATATCCATTCGTGGATTGGAGCAACACCCTTTGGCAACGGGCCAATTCCGCAAAGAGCCCCCGCCCCAAACAACAAAAAAGACGCAAAGAGCCCCCCCCAAAAAAAAAGCACAAAAAACGTCAAGAGCCCCCTCCCAAAAAAATAATAAAACAGGCCAGAGTTATGGTGCTGGGAGCGAATATGTTTCCTTTTTTTGGTCTCCGCTTTGGCAGTCCCTTGACACCCCCAAAATGATTTGTGCGTTGAATGGGACCATTGAATGGGGCCATGCTGCTTTCTGAGCTAGGTCAGTTTGTCAGTTTCCGTTACCTACCTCTTAGGTGACTTTGGAAACGTAGCATATCTGCGCCAGGTTAAGAAATGAATGTTTACACTCAACGCAATGTCTTGGATTGGTTGGACAAGCTTCACATTGGATTCCTACACTAATTTTAAACGAGCAAGCTGGGTCGTTCAGCCTAGAGGGGATGCTTCCCCTGCTCAAATTCCATTGGACGTGCGCGGCTGTTGCCGGATCGTTTTAAGCCACGTGTTGTTTCACCTGGTGTTTGCGGTTTAATTTCACTAGAGCTTGTTGCACCGCTTTCAACAGGATGAGCTCACACTGACATGTTGAAAGCTGCGCGAATTGTACAACCCACGCACTTGCCGTCGCTGAGTCTTGCGAAACATATGCGGAGAAAGGCCCAGTTGCCAGGCTTCATATGGGTGTGTCTTTGTTTAGGGGGACCCCAAAAAATTGTGGTTTTCCTTTTGGCTTCCCTTCAAAACACAAAAAGGGAACGGGGTAGCCTGAAAGCATACACACACACACACACAGATCCATTGTTTCGTGGCTAGAGCTGTTTGACTTGTTGTGATAAGAGCTTCACCATAAACACGTAGCATAGCATGTTGATTGAGTTTCAACGCCTCCTTCCCCGAAAAGCACGGTATTTTCTTCTCAGAGCGGCGGGAAGCCTCGATAGGGGAGACCTGTCATTCGGGTAAGGCTTAGATAAACCGGTCTTACCTCTTGGTTTTCACTAAACATATGATCTCAGTGGTTTTTCCATGGCGAATTCGCAAATGGAAGGGATGGTTCTACGTGAGGAGAATTGGGGTAACAAGAAAAGGTGAATGGGCTTCAGGCGCTGGCGCGCTGGCCACATGGTGGAAGGGTTGAAAGGGAACACCGAAAGATCGGGACACAGCAAAAGCCCGCTCAACAGAGACCAAGACGTAAGCTGGGAGGCCTTTGGGAAGAATTGTTATAATCCACGCAACTGAAGAATGACAAGGTGCGGCCGCTTCATGGTTGTTGTTGGGAAAGATTTTACATGTTTGCTTATTGTGGTTTAGTGGTTGAAATCCCGACTTAACTGCTCAAACTTAAATTTTTGCTCCCCTTCCAACGTCAACCAAGTCTTGCAGTTTGTCCTTTGCTTTGTGGCTCCTGTGGATGGTGTTGTTTCCTGCATGTTTCCTGCGAAACCCCGATCGTTCCACTGACCCCTTCGGCGCCGTTCCTCAACCCATGTTGGTTGCGCATTCCCCTTTTTTCTTACGTGTGGATGTGGCATTTCAAGGAAAACCAAGAGGAGAAACAAGCCGTTGAAGTCTTTTCTGAGGCAACCCACAAAATGCGGCGGTTCCCCCAGTTTTATTTTTGGACACACACACACACACACACACATCTTGGTGGTTCTCATCAGGGAATGAGACATGGAATGACCCTGATTGAAAAAACACATAGAACGAAGCATCCAACCTATGCTTTCCTTTCTTCAGTACTCCCCAAAACCGGAAAACCTGGACTCGTCGTCATTCCCTACTGAACAGCGGGTGGCTTGGGAAAGCCAACTTGGGCATTTGGCAGGCGAGGGAGTTGGAGAGCGCGGGGCAGTTGCAGGCGGGTTGCGGCAGTTGCCGGCGCCGTGAGGTGGGTCATTCCTCCGAGAAAGTGAGGTCCTCTTGCTCAAAAACCCGGGGAGATGAAGGTTGAGGGAGAATCCCCTTTGCCACAAATGGGTGCCGTCGCCTCTTTACGCGATTCTGGGTAGATTATTTTTGTTCCCAGGTGTTGATTGTGACTCAGGCAACCGCTAGTGGCTGGTTTGGAGTGGTTTGGATTGGCAGTCCCACAATTTAACGGAAGGACCCTCAGGCAAGGGCTCCAATTTCCAAAAGGAGTTTCTCCCTCTCTCTTTCTGTCTAGTTATCTTTGTGTTGTTTTTTTCTCGTTCTCTTTCTCTTGCCTGTTTTTTTCTCTTTCTCTTTCTCTTTTTCTCTTGTTCTTTCTTCTCTGTCTTTGCCTCTGTCTCCTGCTTCTTATTTTTCTCCGTCTCGTTCTTTTTCTGTTTGTTTGTTTTGTTTCCTCTCTCTCTCTCTCTCGCACATGCTCTTTCAGCCCGCGTCTCTGCCCCAGCTCTTGTGTTGTCCAGCTTGTTGAGTGTGCTTTCACGCGTAATCGTATCTAGACCAAAAGTTCATCCGCAGGTGCATGCGTTCCTAGAGAGAGCAAGATCAATGAGCTCCAGTACTACGGAAATTCTGGTATACTGCTCCTCTCCATGCTTTACGAGCCCCTCATTAACTCACTTCCATCCCCCTTTGAGGACTAGGTGAGAATTGAAGGCTTGGCCTTTGTCGCTTGCATTCTCAAAACTGGGCGCCTTGACAACCAGACGATTGTAGGCAGGTCATGCCTCCCAGATTGTTTCCCCCGAGAGATGGCGTGCCTGTTCTGACACAGTGTTGTGGCACTTGTCAACTAGAATTCATAGGACTTCACCCATCTCAACCGGAGTGGATTGTCCCCATGCTTGACAATGACACATGGGCTCAAATGGTTGACAACCCATTGTTCATATTTACTCAATAGCCGTCGCACCAGCATGTAGACAAGATGTCCGCTGTTCCCTGGTCTCTGTTCTTTTTTTTGTTTGGGCTTGGGTTTTTACCGGCATGCAATTTTCCGCCCCGGGTTTTTCACGCGGGGAACCCCCCGTGTTTTTGGGCCCTACCCATCACCTCCCGGGGCCCATCTCCCTACCCAAGTCGCCTGAGTCGCGGCTCAGGAGGCCCTGCGGGAGTACAACAACTGCCTGCAGGTCTTCTCGTTCCTCGTGAAGCCGGGCCCTGAGGAAGAGACGGAAACCGCGCGCGCGCGGAGCCGCGAGGTGGTGTTGGGAGGCCTTTCTTTCCTTTTGGGGGGGCAGGGGGGGGGGGGGGGCGGTTTTTCGTTTTCCTTTTGGGGGGCGGGGGGGGGGAAGAAACCCCTGGCTTAAGAAGATGGTTGATGTGTCCGACTGTGTTTTTTTTCAAGATCGAAGCACTACGACTGTGTTCTCATTTCTGTTGGTTTAGGAAGGCCAGTTTGGTGGTAAACAAGAAGTGTGAACCCTTTTTGTGGCCAATCCACTCAAGAAGTAAAAGGTGATCGCCCAGGTCTTCTGACCCAAGCGCCAGTTGTTCAAGGTCCCATGGGGAGTTTCTTGAAAAACCCTTCTGAGTCACAACGGAAAGGCGGGGTATTTATCAGGGGTCAACATTATGTAAGTGTAGAGTGGTTTTGTCAGCCTCTCAAAAGATCCCGATTCAACTATGCCAGGGTTCCCTATATTCCCCCTTTTGCTAGTTTCAAACATCACATTTAAGGCCAATTAAAAGTGAGTTTCCTTTTGGCGGGGGCTGATGTTCAAAAGGGTAAATATAGGGAACCCGGTAGCCTGAATTGGCTGCATGTCTATCTTATCACCTGTCGTCCATGCTGCCTGTTTGAGGTGGGAAAACAACCCACGCATCCAGGCGGGGTGACACATGCCGCACACCCACCTGCAAGTGCTGCGATTTGCACAGTTTAGTTTAGCCAAACCAGTTGTGGCCACCGTGATTGTTTTTGGGGGGTCCCTTGTAGCTGGGTTCGACACCACTTCATCCTGCGAGTTTCCCTTGTCATGGAGGTCTCTGTACGGCAGCTTGCAGACCCATGTGTAACAGGTTCTGGGGCGCGACCAAAAGGACACCGCCGATTTTATTTTATTTTTTTTGAGACAAGCCCTGCTTGACGCACGTGAGGAGATGCTGCGAAATCGCATGGAGGAGATCCTCGGTAGGGCCGGGGGCCCCTGCCCCTGGAGGTACCCTGACCCTCGGGTTCAACCGATTTCCAGGAAAAGAAAGGCCTTGGGACCAATTTGGATGAACGGTAAACCACTATGGTTACTGGACCCCATTGTTTTAAGGGTGGTTTGACCCTCATGGCTGATGCATACATATTATATATGTAGATATTATTTGTATACACTCTTTGTACAATACCCATTGACTTCGGATTCAGGTTTTGAAGACTTAAATCGGCTTTAGGAGTTTCCAGGCACCGGTTAGCATCGTATCCGCCAGCAACGCCTTGCCGTTGAGATAAGGCAGAAGCCGTCAAGGAGATGACGAAGAATGGCAAGGCGAGATGTATGTTTTCCATCTTGTGACTACGAGCTTAGCGAGGGCGCCTAATCTTGACTGCTACTGGGTTGGAACTTTACACTTTAACTTTTGTTTGAAAGCAAAAACGTTTTCCACTAACCCCCCAAAAAAGTTAAACTTTTTGCACGGGGGTCAACAGCAACCAAGTAATTGTCTCTATTCCGTAATTCAGGTTCATTGTAAATGGGGGTTGATCATTTGTTCTTGGCCCCCAAATGACCATGGGCAACTGTTGAGAGCATCCCCTCACTGCGAACGCAGCGGGTTCTCGAGGTGTTCTTTTGTTTATGAAAAAGCGTAAAGCCTTGAGAGGACCTTCAAGCAAAGACCCTTGTCCATGTCGCTTGTCGGGGGATTTTTCAAGAAAGCACATAAGTGGAGCTTTCGGAGGCCAGTCAGTCATCCAGTCCGCAGTGGAGGACCAAGTCGCCCCTTCTTGGGCCGCGAATGACATCATGTGGCCTTTGCTGTGGATGGTTTCGAAATCCATCCACGACATGAAGCCATGGTTCAAACTGTTGCTAACGTTGGTATTTGCGTTGGGGAATCGTATGGCTGTGGCTCAAATTTTGAGGGCTGGGGTTACGCAGGTTTTGGTCAAACGACCCAACAAAGGGGGCAAGTGGTGTTATTTTTTGCCGGCTCTCGTGGAACAATGATCGACTCCCTAGTGAAGGATTCCTTTTTGAGGGGGTCGCCAATTTTCTCACAAACAGTGGCAACAAAATAAATAAGCTCTGGCGATATCCCCAACAGCACCACACCCTCCCAGAATCCTTGCGGAACGCCCAGGACCCACCTCACCGCCGGTTTTGCTGTAAAGCAAAGCTAAGAGTGACAGCGCAATCGCGCCCTAGGCCCGGGGCCCCCACGGTGCAATCGGGCCCCGACGGTGCAAGTGGACCCCAACCTGTGAACCTCGACCGTTCTCGTAGAACCCTCGTGAAACTCGGCGTGAAACGTTGTTAGAACCTTTCCTCAGGGCTGCCCCATATGTTTTGCAGAACTGGTAGAAACCTCGTGGAGCGTTTTTGGAACCTTACCCCATAGCCCTCACAGCCTTGTCGACCCAAAGCCCACCCAAGTAATACTCAGTAATGCCAAGCATTTACCTGCTGCACAGTGAGTTCCGCACCAACGTGATCTGATTTGCCACAAAGCCAACATTTCAAGCCGCGTTGCCTGAGCAAATGAGCAAGTGAGAAAACAGAGGAAATGTGCTGAAAACCGTTGATTTCGGTTTTGCGTAGTGTTCCGCCCATGAGCAAAGCGATCTTCTGAGCCCTCAATTTGCTGCTCCGATGGCTTTTCGGATGGCGGGCGCGCGACACATTGCTTCCTTGCAGGGCAAACCACGGAACCTTGCAGAACATTTGTGGAACCCTTGTGGAACCTTGTGGAGCCTTGTGGAACCTTTGGGGAATGCTTGCGGAACTCTGTGAAACCTTGTGAAGCCTTATGTCAGGGCCGCCCCGGATCCCACAGCCCTCGCAGAACCTCGTCAAACCCTAATGGACCTCATGAACCTTACCTCGCAGAATCTGGTAGAACCCTGGTAAAACCCTGGTGGAACTGGTGGAACGCTGGTGGGTGGAATCCTCGTGGAACCTTACCTCAAACCACCTTGGACCACCCCGCAATCCTCTCGGAACCTCACCTCAAACCCCGGACCACCCCGCGGCCCTTGCAGAATCGATCTGGTAAAACCCTGGTGCAAATGGGGTGGAAGTCTCGTGGAACCTTATTGCAGAACCTGGTTCAAACCCTGGTGGCCCTGGTGGAACCCTGGTTGAACCCTGCTGGAACTGGTGGAACCCTCGCGGAACCTCTCGTAAAACCTTACCTCAAACCACCCCAGACCACCCCGCACAACCCTGGTAGAACCACCCCGCAGCCCTTGCAGAACCTTACCTCAAACCACCCCGGACCCCCGCAGCCCTCGCAGAACCTGGTGGAACCCTGATGGAACCCTGGCGGAACCCTCGTGGAACCTTACCTCAAACCACCCCAAACCACCCCGCAGCCCTCGCAGAACCTAGTGGAACCGTGGTGGAACCCTGGTAGAACCCTGGTGGAACGTTCGTGGAACCTTACCTCCAACCACCCCGGACCACCCCGCAGCCCTCGCAGAACCTGGTGGAACCCTGGCGGAACCCTGGTGGAACGCTCGTGGAACCTAAAACTGAAAGGGGGCGACCGCGATATAAAATAACACCCCGTCTCGCCTTCATCTTCGGACAGGCGCCCACCAGCCCACCCAGTGGCGGCGGCTACGGGGGTGCAGCTACACAGGCACCGCCCGCTACAGGCCGGGGGGGGGGGGGTTGTGGGCTTGTTGGTCAGCCCAGTTGCCCAGTGCTGCCCCTTTTTTTCCCGTTTTCATGGTGGTTGTGGGGAAACATGTTACACTTTTGCTTATTGTGGCGTGGGAAATCCCCACTGAACTGCTAAAATTTGAACTGTTTTTGCTCCCCTCCCAACGTCAGCCAAGCTTTGGGGAAGGGCTCGCCTTCAAAGTCAACCAACTAAAGAAGGATGCCGATTCCTTTTTTGCGCATGGCCACTGGGCCTCTGAGGTATGCGGAAAAAGGTCAAACACATCCGTCGTTCGGCCCTTCTGTCTCACCACCCACAGATTTTTCAGGGTATGATCTGAACCTTGGACTAAAAACAAAGTACCCTCCCACCAATTGACAGCCGGAACCTGACGTTCGGGGGTACGTCCACAGCGACCATCCTCTTATCACAGAAGCCGAGAAGCAGGGACTGGAAGGGTTCCAACGTCCAAACTAAAGCGAAAACAGTTTGAGCATGTCTGGTTTCATGTTTGCGTTTTCAATGATCTCAAAGACCCCTACTTTCGACATTGGCAAAGCAGCGGGGTGACTGCATTGGGAATGGGGGGAGATTGTGGTAAGCCATCCTGCGTGCTTTGGTTGAACCATGACAGCTACACTGGATTCCCCAAGTGAATGAAATGCCGGCTTCTCCTGGATCTTTCAACCAAAGATAGGATTGCCTTTCTGCGAAGGAAACTTGTGGCACCTTCGGACACCTCATCCAAGAGAACTTGTGTGTTGGCCAAGCCTGGAGAGTGCATGTGTGTCCAAAAATCGTTGGTTTCCTTTCAAAAAAAGAACTCTCAAACAGATACACCATGTGGCTGTGGGTCAAAAATAGGTACCCCAAATGGAACCCTAGTAAGTGGAAACATGGACCAAGCCCTGCGGTCCATATCCTGGTGGTTTAATTTTGACCCATGTGGCACCGCTGCCGGGCTTCCTCGCAAATGGCAGGCACTGCTGAGGACGCTGAGGACAAAGAGAAGGAGAAAATGAAGCCGTCAGCTTAGCGAGCGGCCTTCAGGGGCTTGCTTCTTTTTTGTTGGTGATGCCTTTCAGGTAACCTGTGCGATTGGTGGTTTGGTTTTGAGTTGAGCCCCAACTGGAGGGCCTGAAATCGGAAGGCTTGTTTTCTAGTTTGGTGGGAGTTGGAACCCCGGCAGGCCATGGGTCAAAATGTCAAAATCCAAATCGTACCCCCAGTGAACATCCCAATCCCCACTGAAATAGGTTCTAAAATGCGGGTTGAATTCACCTACCAACCAAAATGGGATCCACAAAAAGGTTTTGACAACCACAGCCAGCAGAGGACAAGTTGGTTGAAGTTCCTCGGAAGGTTTGCATCCGTCGCCATAGGAAGAAAATAGATGGGTTCCACTGTTTTACCTGGTGCTTTAATCATCTACCAGGGAAACCCATCTATTTGCCCTAACAGGACACCTACGCCCATCGTTTTGGAAAATTTCCGGAACGCAGTTCTTGGCCCAGGAAAGGCTTGGAGGGCGCCATCATGACGACCAAGCCCAACATCAAGCGGCCTCCTCGGACGGATGGCTCAGGAGCTGAATCTGGGACCTTGGAAATATGGGGGCTGGGGGAGAGGGAGGGGAGAGGGAGGGAGCCCAAATAAGCCCTAAATAAGGCCTTAGTAGTAAGTAGGGGCGTAGGGGGGTTTTCGGGCTCCCTCCCCCTCCCCTCCGTCTCCCCCAGCCCCCACGATGGAATGAATGGATCCAAAGTGGAATGGCGGCACATGGGAGGCGGAAAGCTGGGTCAATCTCCTGGAACCTGCACTGGGGTCATTTCTTGAGGTGACCAAGTTAAAAACTGGGGTGGTGTCCCTTTGGCCAACCACCTAGGGGGTGGCTTTGATAGTGGTAAAAGGCATCCGCCCAGTTTCACGCATTCTGTTCACAGCACCTGATGTAGGAACCTCCCCATAGCACCCTTTGGGTTCTGTGTTCTCGGGGAGCAGTACGTATCCATTGAGTATGGCCGCCTATATGGGAGTGTGTCTCTTTTTAGGGAACCCACTTTTTGGTTGGTTTGAAGAGAAAACCAAAGCAGAACCACATTTGCTGGGGTACCCTCAAGAATGACACTTGTTTCCCCCTTTGGTTTAAATCATCACGGGCTGTGCTTTTTTTACAGGGGAGGGGTCCGAGCAATCGCGGTTTCACTCATCATCTCTGGGGGGCCAATTTGAAGTGAGATGTTCCTTTCGGCGCCGTGATGTTGAAAGGGGAACATGTCATCATATAGGATACCCTAAAGTGACAGAGCCGCTCATGACAATTGTTATATACGTTGTTGCATACCTGTTGTGTTACATACACTCAGACAAATAGAAGAACCGGAGCGTGATGTGGGGTGATGGAAAAGGACAATGCGCTTTCCCCACCCATTTTTGTTCGGGGAATCCTGGCATGGTTTTCCTTCAGTGCGAGGTGGGACGATGTGGCTGGCTTGGAGGCGCCAGCGTCCATGCATCGAGCTGGACGGTTTCTGAATCCCGATGCGATTGATCGTCAAAATGGGCGTTCCTTTGAATTCCCTGATGACTGCGTGGATGTTGATTTGAGCCAGAATCAAACCCAGGTAGATGAAGGTTAGGGATACTTCCAACCATAATTAGCTGTGGCAGCCTTCTTAATTCTTTACATGGTTCTGGGTAGACCATTTTAAGACCGGGTTTTGATTACAACGCATTTTGGATTGCTATAGTATCTTGCAACACCTGGGTCGTACATGTCGTTGGGCTCAACATTCGATCCACCCGTGAAAAGCATGAAAGACACACGGACGTGGCCAGGCCGCCAAGGGTGCTCTGCAGGAGACTGTGATTCTTCCAACCAGGCCAGGTCAGAGTCGAGTTTCATGCGAGCAGCGCCCAACACCGATCCCTGCAGACGCAGTTGCTAGGTGGTTCTACTACCCAGTTTAAGAGGGAAAATAGCAAGGTCTAAATGAACCTTTAAAGCCATCTTAGTAGAACAAATAGTCAATGGGTTTTGGTCGCTGCTGAATTCAATAATTGGGCTTTGAGTTAAGCAGGCATGGGGGGAGGGTCCTCCTACGCGTGAAGATTCTGTGAATCATGTCTGCGAAAGGTATACCGTATCGCGCTGTACTTGATGCGAGCCCAACCGTGGCGCCCCACTATTTTTGAATCAGACCACCATTTTTTTGTCAGATGCCGGTGTTCTGTTGTATTTTGGTGCTCCCCAGCCATCCCCTTAGCTTTTTAGCTTTCTGGTGTTTAGGTGGGGTTCTGCATTTCAACCCACCTAAAGGTTTCAACTTTTAGCGGGGGATCAGAAATCGGACAGCCCAGTTCTGGGTTTCCCTTTAGAACCAACCCAAAAGACCTCCAAAATTTCTCAGAATCCGATGTTCAGTTTGATGGTTTCCTTTTGACTCCAACCCAAAAGCAGCGAAAGCAGGCATCAAGCCTTCGCCCCAGGGTTGTGGGATCAAGGGGTTTTTCTCACTTCTGTGATACAAGGGAATCTCCCCCTTTATACGGGGGTTAGTCTTTGGGGTTAGGCCCTTTTTGTTGTATCACAGAAGTGGATTCCATTTCCCACAGCCCTTCGCCCTGACCGGAAGCGCCAGGTTTCCACAGCTCTTCACCGGAAAGCGTGTGCCCTGGCCAGCGGCTCGGATCCATCGAACCCGACCGACCCGGCCCAAGGGTCGTCGGGCCTGCGAGGCACGGAATCCACACTTTAATCCGTCCAACTTGGAGTTGTATATATATATATATATAATATTATATTTAACATACATATACATATACACATATATACAAATATGTTTTCTTATTTTGCCCCTTTCGGTTGTAAGCGTCTTCAGACGCTCAACACCGACCTTTTGAGCTTTTGGTCTGACCGTTGCGTCCCATTACGGCCACAAGGCGACCTGGAAAATTTCCAGGTCACAGGTCCCAAGGGGCAACCGAGCTTAGCACGCTCGCTTCCTACTGAAAGTATAGGAAACCCGTCTGGGTCTGTCTCATCTTGAGGGAATACTTCGCCTTTTGTGGGCTTGAGAGGGAAGCCAAAGCCAACATAGGTGTCCTTTTTGGTTTGCTTAAGAAACAGAGGGCGATTCCTGGCTTAGATGGGTTTTCTTCCATTTACCAGGGAAACCCATCTATTTTTTCTCCAAAAGGCCACCTATGGCAACCAACCTTCTTGGTGGTCCCCCGGTTTTGAGAGACGCTGAGTTTCATGGAGCCAAAAGTCTTTATCCCGCTCACGTGAGTGGATGGCCTTTGGTTTGCCTCCAGTTTGGCCCGTCCCGCATATCGCGGGACGGGCAAGTGGCGTGAGATTCAGTCCCTGAGTTCCTAGGCTTTAGTAAATCACTTGGGCTTGGATACACCAAAAAAAAAAAACGTTTGGTTGCTACGTCTTTCGGGCCATCCACTTTTCTTCTCCATGGGTTTGATCCGGAGGCATGGCATCCTGCTCTATGGCCCTCCTGGAACGGGGTGTGGGCCTCAAGAGCTTTGGTTTGGCTTGAGGGTTTCGGACTCCTCGGATGTGTCTTCGTAACCTCGGTTTGGCTTCTCAGTTGTTCAGTGGCTCCAATTATTTTTCCTTGTTTTTCCGGTGGCTGCCCCACTAAAATGGTCCAAGCCCAAAAAAAGGGTTCCCTTTTTTTCCAGGGTCACTGAACAACTGAGGTTTTTTGGCCCTGCTTTGGTCCACGTTAGTCGAGGTCCCTCAAAAGTGATTGCCTTTACACTCACTTCCTGAGTTCATGGACTTTGCATGGTTGATGTTCCCCTTGTTTGTTCGAACAAAACCAGTTGCTTGGTTTAAACCAAACCTGGTTTGAGTAAGACAGAACCTTTTGTGGTTAAGACATCACCTAAAATGGGCTAATCATGGTTGTTGTTCGGAAACATGTTACATTGTTGCTTATTGTGGTTGAGTGGTTGAAATCCAACCACTGAACTGCTAACATTTGTTTTTAGCCAAGTTAACTTCGGTTTGGTTGGTTGCAAAAGGAAACTAGAAGGACACCAGCCATTTGGGTCCCGTTGAGACACACCTGCAGGCGCTATGTGGGAGGAAGGATCCTTGTCTTCCCCATCCATATTCGGGAATGCCCCCCGGTGCGCCATTGATCTCACTAGATCTCACTTCCTGAGTTCATGAACTTTAAACTTGTTGGGTTCGGACCCATTTTAGTGGTAAGTTATAAAGTTTTTATGTCCTTTTTGGGGGCCATCCACTCAGCTGAGAGATTCTAAGCCTGAAGCCATTGTCCCTAACATGAAGGTTCTATGTCAGTGCTGTGCGGGCAGTGTCTTGGGCCTTGGGCCCTTGAGAATGAAGCTCAAGTCCTGGCAGGCGAGGCTGGTTGAGGGCACCCCAATCATCTAATCATCTGCCTTCAGAACTTTGCTGGTGGCAGAAATGCTGTGGCGGAAGTGGACGCATGGTGCGGCCTGAAGGCCGACAAGTCGGCCGACACATAGTCTTTCCCAAAATGGCTTGCAGGAGTACACTGCCCGAGGGCTTCAGTTGGGACGCCCTTTTAGCGCCGCCGGCAAGGCTGTTGCCACAGATGCTGGTGAGGCATGCAGCCCACAGCAAGCAAACAATCTGTGAAGGTCAGACCTACGCCAGTGTGCTTTTTGCATGGGCTCCAAAGGAAATGCACGTAGACCAGTGATCTAGGGTCCAAATGGCGGCTTTCTTGCTTTAGCATGAATGGCTCTGATGTCTTCAACCAAATGATGTCCACAAAGGGTCCAAAGTTGAGTTTCATACCCAAATGCATGTGGGTTAAATTTACCGTGGCTCAAAATTATGGAACCAGACTGCAGTAGTCCCCTTTCTTTTTCTTGGACAAACTGGGATAATTCCTATTTTCCAGCCGCAGACAAGTAAGAGGGTGTCTTTTTTGAGGGGCAAACCCACAAACCCTAAAAGCACATGCCCAAATGAATACCCTTTTCGGGTTGGTTCAAGAGAGAAACCAAAGGGACACCCATTTTGGAAGGCCCAAGTTTGACATACTTTTGGCTGATTGTGACATCCCTCAACTTGTTGTGGGTCGGCAGAAATGGATGTGTCATGTGTCCTAAGACAAACCATTCAGAATGGTGGGTGTCCGTTTGGTTTCCCTTCAAACCATCTCAAAACAGGTATCATACAACCCCCATAGTTTTCAGCCATTGTGCGAATTGAAACCAAGAGGGAGCCACACAAAACGTTAAAACCGAACCCAAGAATCGCTCGCTCCCAAGCTGCGCCGAAAAACTCGCAGCGCGAGACTCTCAGGAAGTCCTACCTGGCAAAGGCCTGTGCCACCGAGGTGCGCTTTGGTGGTCGGGGGTTTCCTTGGGTGGTTTGGATTGGTTTGGTTAGGCAGCTTGGAATATTTTATTGGGTTGTCACGGCAATTGTTTGCATCTCTTCTTTGAGCAAGAAAAAAGCGTCCTTTTGGTTTGGTTAGAAAGCTTGGATTTTTTTTGTTGAGTTGAAACAACCACTTAGGTCCCCCAGCAATTGGTGCCCTTTCTCACCCCTTTTTCCGGGGAGAGTTCCCCTACTAAAATAGACTACAGAAAAAAAAAGGGTAGCCTTATTGTAACCTCTCTACTGGGGGACCTAGGAATTGTGTTGTTTCTCTTCTTTGAGCTCGAAACAGGCGTCCTTTTGGCTTGCTGTCTTCCTTTTGGAGCCATTCCAGCGGGCCGGAGACAAATCGGTGCAGATCAGCTCAGTTTAGTGTGTCAGAAGGTGGGGGGTGTCTTTTTTGCGGGTACCCCATGTTTGTGGTGTTAGTGGGAAAGCAAAAGAAAGACAGTCAGTTTTGGGGACTCCCTCAGAAAGATAGCCAGGTGGGGGGTTTCAAATGCGACCGACCTCTGAGTCGCATGTCTTATCCCCCGGCCCGGCCTGCATACCGGTATGAACGGTCGCGGACTGCGCTGTTGTTCTGTCTGTAAACATCTATACATGGTTGTCGTTGGGCAACATTTTACATTTGCGCTTATTGTGGTTTGGTGGTTGAAATCCAACCACTTAAGTGATCAAATTTGGTTTTTTGGGTCCCCTTCCAAGGTCAACCGATTTTTTCTGCGGGTCTTTCCCTCACCCAAAAAAAGCCGCCACGGCCGATGCCACGCTGAGGCCGACGCCACCTTCTTTAGCATCTCATCCTCGGACCTTGTCGGTTTCCCCATCCCGCTCGGTCGTAGGTCTTGAAATGAGCGGCTCGTCGTTTTTGAGTTGGTGCCCCTTGCCCAGTTGCCCGGTGGTGCCCTTTGTTCAACTTTTTTGGGGAAGGGTTCCGATTCCTTCAAAGTCAACCCACCAAAGAAAGGATGCCTTCTTTTTCCCCATGGTTACTGGGCATCTGAGCCTTTTATCTCACTTCCCGAGTTCGACTTTCAACTTTGTGGGAAGACCATTTGAGTGGTCAAAGTGCTGACTTTTTTTGACCAATCGACTCAGGAAGTGATTATTCTTGTGTGGGTTTAAAGGGAAACCGATTGGAAACAGGGTCTCCAAGGTATCTCCCTTATTAAAGGGAGCCTCCAAGAGTGGCAGTTTCAAGGGAAACAATCAGTAACTTGCAACTGTTGAAGGGGAGATCCAGTGACTACTGTGAAAAACAGCATTTGTCGGGGGGTCCCCTAAAAACGGCTATATTTGTTGATAAGGAATAATTAATTCCGTGGACACGAATCCCCGCCTAAATGGGGTCCAGCGAAGGGTCCCCGATTTCGATTCATCCCACATGTCACTTTTGAGTTGGACATTTTACTCTTTGGGGAAATCCCGTTTTAGTGGCAAACAGTATCCTGCGTGTTGCCAATCTCAGGAAGTTCGGGTCTCAAAATGCTCCCGAAAGGAAAAGACGAAAAATCTCTGAGACTTGCAGGTCTCGCAGAGTTCACGTTGGGGTCCAACAGTTGCCGCTGGTGAGCTGAGAAACAGGCAGTCCTCCTAGCGGCGTTGGTGCGCAAAAAAGTGGACCCCAGGTTACCCCTAGCTGCATGTGCTGATTCCAAGATGTTTCGGTCCAGAAAAGGGTCTCGGGATGCCTGCTTTGGAAAGGGACCTGGGGGGATTGGTAGAAAGGCGGCAGTTGATGTTTTACTCATGCATTCAACTTGTTGCTTGTTGACTATTGCAGGTTGAACATGTGCGGAAGGAGGTGGTTGAAGATTTCAATATGATCCGGTGGTTTCCAAATTGGTTGTGGTCGGCTTTTGTTGCCTCACCAAAAGAACCCTAAAGCAACCCTAAATCCACCCAAACCCAACCCTCCAGGCTTCCATTTGACACAAGACGCGCAAGCTCTCACTGGCAACGATATTTGAGGTCTCCAAGTGGATGGGCGAGAGCGAGAAACTCGCGGGGATCCGAGATGCACAGCTGATGTTTGGTACCAATTCACGGCATGTTTGTTCCAACAAGGAATCCCCTGCTTTGGTTTTTGTTGCCCTGCTTTGGTCCAATGTCGAGATCCCGAAAGGTGATTACCTTTACACTCACTTCCTCAGTTCAAGGACCAGTTTTTTTTTGGGGGGGGAAGACCATGGTGGTGGGAA